CCCCCCCCCCCGGCCTCCCACCTTCCACCCAGTGTACTTCCACTCACCAGCTCTCCAAAGAGTGAAGGAGGAGGAGCTGACATTCCGGATGGAGCAGGTGAAGACCCCATAGTCCTCAGCACTGGTCAGGTTGACCCCCAGAACACTGGACACAAGCACCTCTGATGAGTTGGCCTTGATCCTGGGGAGACCAGGCCCAACCCTCTTACCTGGGGCCTGAGAGCATCAGTGGATGTCCCTGGACTCACCCACGGAGGAGGCAGGTGTGGGCTTCCTGAGTAGCCCTTGAGCCAAAAGCTAAGAGAAGTGGCCAAAACCTGGTGGGGGTGTGGATCTGTCTGGGGCAGTCACGTGATCTTGGGTCTGGGTTTTGGGGGGTCAGTGCCTAATTCAGGCCATAGGACTGTGCTAGCACCGTTGGCCCTGGGCTGTCTACAAGGGGCCATCTGTCCCTGCAGTCACTGACCCTTGGTCTGTGTCAGAAGTGGCACTCTGCCCATGTCCAGGTGGTTATAGACCAGGGTATAGGTGGCCTCGGGTATAACCAGGGTAGTCACCTAACCCTGAACACCCCAGTCTCTTACCGGGAGTCTTCATGGAGGCCACAGTGGCTTCCATTGCCCGGCGGCAGCCCATCTTTCAGCCACTGGACTGAGGGCAGGGGACAGTGGGGCCCAGAGACCACCCAGGCCGTGCAGTTCAGGGAGACCGCACTGCCCAGGGCAGGCTCCAGGGCCTGGTTTCCAGACGGGGAGAGAAAGTTGGGGGCCGCGTCACAGACACCTGCAGAGAGAGGACCCAGTGATTAGCCATGCCTGGAATGCTGGGCTCCCACCAACCACAGATGGTCTGTGGGCCAGGAAGAAAACAAGACGGTCAGTGCCATGTGATGCTTGGTGGCCTCACCATGTCCATGCACAGGTCCCACAGGGGACAGGGCCTGGCAGGGTCTTGGGTGTTCTGCCTGCCTTCGATGTGGCTGCTCTGTCCTCAGAGGACATTGGAAGGCAGGGGCCAGAGTCATAGCTGAGCTGACCCACCCCAGCTCAGGGGGCCCACCTGACTGCCCATCCACCCAGGACATGAGCCCAGCTCCCACATTTTCTGTGTGCACCTGTTGCCGGCAACTGTGACTCCCGCCCAGGTGAACGGCCAGGCATTGCACCCCTCCCCCGGCCCCTCTGCTGGGGGAGCTACAACAAGTGTAAACACCAGGGTTTGGGGGGCACAGGTGCTGAGCGTGCCACTCCTTCCACGTGGGATGGCAGCACGGGATTCCAGGACCTTCCTCTGTTGGTCACGAGCAAGCTTTCCCACCTCCCTGAGACCTACGCTTTCTGATCTTTAAATCAGGGCGAAGAGTCCCAGGGGACGTGAGAGGAGACCACCGTCATCTTGGTGGTGTGGTCTCTCGGTAGCCCACACCTACCCATCCTGCCCCCGGGGGCCCCCCACTAGCTGCCATTTCCAGTGTCTGTCGGCTTTACTGACTTCCACGACCATAGTCTAGAGGCTTTGGGAAGGAGAAGGCGCAGGGCCTGCCCTGACTGTGGGGTCAGGACCTCGGGCTACGTGGGAGGGGTGAGTAGAGGCCTTTGTACCCCTGGCCGGAGGCCAGTCAACATCACAGCATGGAGCCAGCCCGAGGGATGGGGGTGGGAGTGGGGTCCGTGCCTGTCCCTCTCTGACCCGTCTACCTGCCATGGTCTGGCCGGGGCCTTCTCGGGGCAGGCTGGGCACTGGTGCCACCCCCCCGGCTCCTCAGGGCTCCTTGGCTGAGCAGACTGGTCCCCCGGGGCTCTCTGTCTCTGTGGCCGGTCAGTCAGGACACCAGGAGGGGTCAGAGGCTGCTGCCACCCCAAAGGAGAAAGTTAAACAAGAACAGGATGAGTTAACATGTAACCTCGTACCAGTTGCCTGGAGGGTGCCGGGCACACCAGCACAGCATCATGTGTGGCACCTCATGCTGGAGTGGGCACGGCCCAGGGGGCTTGGGGAGCCCTCAGACTTACCTTCGCCTGCTCCGGTGTCACCACGATGGCCCAGGGAGGGCCCCCTGGCACCCCTCATAGGGTGGCACGTGGCTGTGTCCCCACTATTCCCCGGGATAGGGATGCCACAGACAAGGAGGACTAGGGTGCAGACCTCGCTTTACCCAGGCCCTGAGCGCCGAGGGTCACATGCAACCTGCCTGCCACCACGGGGTGGGTGTGGGCTGCTGGACTCGGAGCCATACTCCCAGCTGTAGCGTTTTGTCCTGGACATGTCCCGTGTGCACGCGTGTGTGGGGACAGGGCACCTGAGCTGAGCCAGGCCACAGTCCTCAAGGCAGGAGGGAGGGGGCCTGGCTGGACTGAGTCTGCTCCAGAAGGCCTTGTGGGTCCCCCCTCCTTCCGGGTCCCACACCCGTGTCCCCCCCGCCCTGTCTGTCATGTCCAAAACCAAAGACCTTTGTCCACATTGTCTAGTTCTCCAAGGGAGGCCCCCACCCCACCACGGGTGACCCTCCTCTCCTCTGTGGGGCTGGGACCATCCGAACCCAGACTGGGAGCAGCCGCAGGTGCCTCCTGACACAAAAAGCTCTAAGGCGACCTGGGCTGAAAGGAGGGGCCAAACCCCCCAGCGCAGGAGCCAGAGGCCTGGGGCCACCTCCTCGAAGCCCCAGCTGATGCAGCAGGTACTTACTGAGACCTCACTCCACTCCTGCCTAGGGCTGTCCTCCCCACGCCTAGGGCCCCAAGTCTCTCAGCCTCCCCTGCGTTCCTTCTGCGTGGGTGATGCCACCGTGGGCCTGGCCCAGCCTCCACACCCCCAGGAGCCCTGGGCTCGGCTGGCTCAATTTCCTCGGGGATTGCTGGAGCATCAGGCAGGGAACTGGTGAGGAGGTTCCTTCCCGAAGCCCTCTGGTGGGGGGCAGTCTCGGGAAGGTCCTTGAAGTAGAACCAGTCCACTGGGAGACTGTGGGAGACGGGGCAGCGCACACCCCCTCCCCAGGGTCCCCAGCTCGGCGGGTCCCAGGGAAACTCCTGCAGTAACACTCACACCTTTCGAACTCTTAAGATCTTTTACCCCCGGGGAGGCAGTCTCCGGCCTTCCTGGAAGGTAAGGCCAAACTGCACAACCTCCCCCCGCGCACCCTCCCCTGCATAGTCTGTTTTGCACACCACATGCACACACAGCCCCCTCCCCATGCACACCTGCACTACATGCACCCCACCCCCCCCCCGCACCTTCAGCACTCTTGTGGCCACACACACAGCACACACGTACTTGCAACGGCTCGCACAGGGCGCATGGCCTCGAGCATCTGTACAAACCCCACACCGCACGCTGCATCTCACACCTGCCCTTGCCACCCATGGCGCGCACACAGCCTCCTGTCACCCCCTGCTCTTACAGGCACACACAGGCTACACGTGCTGCGGGGCCTCCCCTCGGCCGGGCCCGACTCTGAGGACCGGCCTCAGGTCAGAATGTGTCCGAGGGCAAGGACACAGGCCCACGCGGAGCGGCAGGGCTGTCGGGGGAGCTCACGAAGTCACCTGGTTCCGGCTCTCTCCTCCTGGGGGGGGATGGCGGTCGTCGAGGTCATTGATGCTTGCTCGGGAGCAAACTGTGTGCTCGGCTGGGCCCCAGGTCCGGCCCGCAGCACCGCAGCCCCAGAGCTCATCGCCAAGCACAGTGAGGACCTGCCTTTTGTTCGTGTGTGTGTTTTAATCAACTTTCCCTGCAGCTTCCTGGCTTTACAGTCACATCCTCTCCTGACCCCAAACCCCACCCAGGCAGGCGCGCAGTTGGTGGTTCTCGCCCCTGCCCCGCCTGCTCAACTTCTTCCTGTTAACTCCGAGTCAAGCTGTTCCTTCCTCCGGGGCCCACCCCAGCCCACCGAGGCAGTGTACTTCCCGAGGCCAAGCCTGGGCGATGGAGAGGAGGTTGCGGAGAGGCTGGGGCCCCGGGTGATGTGAGGGGGTCCTAAGGAGACGCCCCCCAGTCAGGGTCATCCCGCACACAATCTCATAGGGTCACCGCTTCCCAGACACAGCCTACAGAGTGACACTCAGGATGGTGAGAGCCTCCAATGTGCATCTGGCCTGTGACCTGCTGGGGTGACGGGAGTCCTGTGGATATTCCTGCCAATAATGGGGCCTTGAGCAGAGCTTTTGGGCTCCCTCCGGGTCCACTTCCCCCCTACAGTGCCCAGACAGGGGCTGTGGTATCACATGGACCTTAGTTTCAGGCTGGGATGGGAAGGCAGTCCCCCCTTTTCCAGATAAGGAAACAAGAAAAGGCCTCAATAGAGGTTCCTGGGCTCTGAGCCCAGCTGTG